ACAGGGACAGGGACCAGGCAGAGGTGTTTAATGTGTTCTTTGCCTCTGTCTACAACACAGATGATGGACCAAGGGGGTTTCAGTGCTATGAGATGGAAGACCAGGGCTCATCCCAGTTGACCCTGAAGTCAAGCAGATCTGCTGTTTCAGCTGGATCCCTAAAAATCTATTTGGCCTGATGGGATTTATCTGAGAATCTTCAAGGAGCTGGCAGATGTCATTGCAAAACCTCTCTTGATTCTTGAGAATTTTTTTTTCTTGATTTATTTTTTTCAGAATCCAGAGAGATCCCTGTGGACTGGAAGTTGGGTGATACTAACCTGACTTTCAAGAAGGGCAAGAGGGAGGACCCAGGAAGTTACAGGCCTGTCAGTCTCATTTCAGTGCCAGGTAAAATCATGGAAAAAACTATTCTGGAAGATACTGAAAAACACCTGGAGGACAATGCAGCCATCAGTCCCAGCCAGCACAGCTGCTTGAGAAGGAAGTCCTGCCGTCAAATCTGATTTCCTTCTATTTCAGCTTCCTTCTGGGAATGAAGATGACACATTAAACAGATCCTGCTTATCTGAAATGTTTGGGTCCAATTCTCTGTTAGAATGAACTCATTTATACTTTTGATGATTTGCCAGTTCCCAAAAAGTGTTGAGTAACACCTGCTTGATTACAATCTGTCTGCACTGCTCTTTTGATACTCCATGAGATGCAACACAACAGTGTCTGCTTTTGCATTATGTCAGTTAACCTAATTCTTCCAATTATATCTTTAAGTAATTACAAGATTTTCTTTCATAATATTCCTGAGATGATAGGATTATCAGGCCTTTTGCCCCATAAAACCTGAACACAATGGAAAAAACTTACATATTTAAGGACACAAATGCAAACTAATCTACACACAGCAGAAACCTAACAGGTTTCTTATGGTGTGCAACAGCCAAGACTTTGTATTACTGTCCCTTCCTCTTTTGCCTTCTAGATTTACAATATGCCCTTTCTTTACATACCAAACCCAATAATGCACTTACTATACCCTAAAAGCATAAATTCAACAGAATTCCAGAATTAAAAACAACTATCTGGAAAACCTTACAACAAATCTTCAATATCTCATCTCTGATACTTCCTCAAAATTTCCAGATGCAGTGAAACATGATGGTGATAATTTGTGGCATCACCTGGAAGCCCCCACCTCAGGTCCATCAGCTGGAGTTATAACCTCTTTCTTTACAGTAGTTGTCTAACTGAGGAAAGCATTCTTCCATTAATGCATTTCTTTCTGCCTCTGACCCTAGCACAAATAAGCACAGTGAGATCAGATTGTTGTAACTTAAAAAGAAAACACTGCAGTTTTGATTATTTTGCTGTGTTGATGGCAGAAGCTTTGAATGAGTCAGAGGATAAATATTTCTTAAATAAGACACGTATTCTTACAGATAATCTTTGTACATTGATACCCAATGTGATATGATGTAATGAGGTACCTCACTAAGATTGTGTTTATACACACATGCATAGTAAATCACATTTTAACCATTCTGCTTACAAGACACACATTGAACTGGAGATTTAAATACTGATGAGCTGGATTTACATTTGCAAAATGTACATCTAAACCCAAATTTTGTGCACTCCCCTTCCTTCCAGCAGAAAAAATTCTGAGCTTACAACACTCAAAGTATTAAAGTATTCAGAATCTTGCAGAAAAGAGGAAGCGAGGCTTTAGGGTTGTCTCCACTTCTTCACATAACAGAAATTGCATTTGCTTGATATACAAGAACCCCACAGCTTCAAATCAAAATTTCTAGATTTGCTCCTGTGCCTAATTTTTTTCTGGTGACATTCTTTCCTTCTATCAAGGGTTTACTATAAACACTTTAAAAAATACTTTATCTTCTTCTAAAATACCTTAAGAGATATTTTAACATACAGAGAAACAACATATGTTTATCAACTGTAATTTTTAGAAGACTAACCAACCATGTTCTTAAGGCTCCAAATTCGAGATCCTTCCTCCTTCTTCAACTCTTCACTTCTACTGTCATCTTTTCTCCCTAAACAGATATCCAAAGAAGTTGAGTATTTCCTTTTCATATTTAGCATGTGCCTCCTCACAGAATATCTTTCCCATTTCCTAATCTTGCAAGACAATGACCTGCTTTGCTTCCTCTCTGTTCATCAGTAGAGCATCTAACAGAGTAGGGCTTGTGTCTGTGAAACAAAGATTATTGTGATGATCACAAAGAGATTCTGCCCAATTTTTACCAGTCAGAGTTTGCAGCAGAGGTCTCAAGCGCATACATGTAAAACAAGAGAAAATAAACCAGGAGTGACACATTGTAGCTTGTGCATTATATTATATGCAACATGACACAGATTATGTTAACTCATTCCAGGTGTGAGGCATAAACACCACTCAGTAGTTTCTATCTTCTTCCTCCCCTATCCAATACACCTTTCTGTATAAAAGCTACAATTATTTATAAGCATTTATAAGTCACAAATCCACCACATGAAGATAGACTCTGAAGCAGACTAAACCACTCAGATCCAGTCAGTTTTATTAAAGCAAATTATTTGCCTCATTACCTAGCCATCCTGTTCAAAGGTCCACACTGTTCCAGGGACAGGTCTGTTACTTTACTTGCTTTCACTAAGTGAAAACTTTTTTTTCTTTTCAGTCTTAGGAGAGTACTAAAATTGAGTTTTTGTATCGCTTTCCCACTAACAGGGCACTAGGAAGAAAAGCACTAACCATCTGTTCGGACTCTACTGGGGAAAAAAACCAACCCACAAACAAACCCAAAAACACGTAGTCACAGAAAGAAAATCTTCCTAGGAATTCTTTTTTATATAAACATCACATACCCAGCTTTAATTTTGGCACATCCTTACTTCTGAGTAGGATTATTTCCTTTCCTTTAGCACTATTTTAATTTTGGAAATAAATGTCTATATGACATCCTGTACTTTTATCAGCTAAAGACATATGGCATGAGGAGGGGAAAGGAAAATCATAATTATGCAATATACCAGTTAACTAAAACCTGGTAATACTCTAGTGCTGATCTTCACAAAAAAATATCATTTTTCTGATAATGCTTGGCAAAATTTGTTAACTGTCTACAGAAGCTGTCTACTTTTGATCGATGGGCTCTTCCCTGAGCTATTATAAAATCTGTGTCTTCAAGGTCAATTGAAGCATCATTTTCACTGTAGGTAGAGATCAAATGGTTCTCTACAGTGGAACAGCAGCTCTTCACATAGCAATGCTTTGTTCACATTTGTTTTACCTGCAGGAAATCATAGAATGCATTACTGACAGAGATACTTGACTTAAAGTAAGGTTCTGCTCTGAAGAGCAAATTCAGTCAAGGTTGTGTTTATTGTCTTTCAATGACATTATAGCAGATGATTGTTTGAGAAAAAGATTTATTGCTTTCTTCCTTCTATATCACTTCTTGAAGGGTATCTTCCAAACTCAGACTAGGCTAATTTCCCTTTCTGACCATCAGCAGTAATGGAGACACTGCAGAGGCAGCTCTGCCCTCAGGGACACTCACACACCCTCATTCCTCTCCAGTGAGGCTCTGGAGTTACAGCCTGGCTTTCCCTCACTGCTATGACCCATCTCACAACATACACAACTTGTGGTAGCTAACCACAATAGGAGTTTTCAAATTTCTGCTCTATTTCTAACATGAATACTTCAAACACAACATCTGTAGGAACCACAGGCAAGAATGCTCAGACACAGTGGCAGGGGACAGCTATGTAACATGTTCAGTCTGACACAGGACACCAATGCTGGATGTAGATATTCATGTCTTGTGTAACTAAGACATTTGGAGTCATTCTTCACTTTGCTCTGAATGAAGGAGAGGACAAATAGTTAATGATTTTCCAGTGCCTAGTCAATACGTTTTAAGTTATTTCTGAGAGCACACCAGGCTTTCAGAGGCTGCTTACATAGGCTCAGAAAGAGAATAACAGGAAACATAACAGGCAAACACAAATTCTTCTCACAGCCACAAAACAGACCCATTCTGAGATGAAGCCAAATCCATTTTGGTGAAGGAAAACAGAGCAATGAAAAGAAAATCTACAATCATCTTGTCCTTTACCATACCCCAAGCTCATGCTAGAATTTAGCTTTTGTTTTGTTGTATTGTCCTGCAGCCATGAAAATTTATCCTCTATGCTCTTCTAGTTTTGCATATGAGGATGTTTTCCCCCATCCACTTCCTCCTCCCACCCGCTCAGAATTCTCACACTTTTGGTATTTTCTCTGTTGAATGAGCATCTCCTCCCCACTTTGTTCTGCTGTTAACTGCAAGAGCTTAGGGTGCCGTACTGTTGGAAGAAACAATTTCCAAAGGGAAATTATTTCTGGTTCAGACCAGTTCAAGGATTTTCACAGCACAAATTTCACAGTATAACCCAAAGTCATTTGTATTGCCTCAGCTGAGAGGAGGATAGCATCCTTATATTTGCACTTTTGTCACAAGTCCTCTGTGAGGAAATGCTGGCTTTTTTCCTACTGGTCTTTTACTCACCAAAATGCAGTTGCTCATCAGTTGGGCACTCTTCATCTGTGCACCCCACACACAACCAGTCAGAGCAGGACTGCAGAAATTATCAGCCTTGATTTCAGTGTATCTGTGTCAGGCTGACCACGGGGATGAGCAGGATCTGCTAGGCACACACTGCTGACTAATCACAGCTGTCATCTCTATTCAACATACTAAAGGCAGTCTGCATTACTCCCTGGAATTTGATATGTTAGAGAGCAATGGGGCATCTTTGGTCATGGTACCTACAGCATTCTGGATATTTGCTACCTTTATTTTACTGTTACTGGTATTGACACTTGTCTTCTCAGGCCAAACAAAGCTCTACTGCAAAACTCATGGATTTAAATATGTGGTGTAGCCATACAATCAAGACACTCTCATCCTACTGAGTAATCACTGATTTTCCACTGCCACTTGGTCTTTGTAAAAAAATAAAGAAGGTGGCAGGAGATTTTTCAAGGGTTTAGAATTCCTTCAGGAGTCATGATCTTATTTACAATTGTGCCTTGCTTGACAATCATTAGATTTTTCCTTACCCTCATTTATCACTGCTCAGGCCTCTCCATAACATCGAATACCCAGATTCTTTAAATGATCCTGTTCCAGCCATCACATCATATCAGAAAATGGTTTGAACGACACAAATTTACAATTTCACAATTTACACAGAAGCAAAAAATGAGTATAAAAATTTCCAATACAAAATATTTCCTGTGAAATTAGACTTCAAAGTAAATACATTTACTAACAGAACTAGAGAAGACTCTCAGGTATCTTCATGAGAGCATGTGATTTACAGGCAAACTAGGAGCTGAAAAAGCATGCATTTCACAAGGTTACCAGGTTACACACAGTAACTATAGCCATAGAAGGCAAGAGACGTGGTTCTTATTTGTTCTTCCCCCACCCTCTCATAACTAATCTATTCAGATAAACTGTCAGAGCAACTTGATTTATACACCAAGGATACCAGCAAAAACATGTCAATTCCCCTTGGGGAACTCATGAATAGAGTCCTGCCTGTCCTGGTGCTGGCAGAGACTAAAACTAAACGTCCTTCCCTGCTACAGGTTCACTGTGTACTGCCAGAGCAACTTCTCCTGGCACTGGCACTCTGTGCTGGGTGCTCCTGCTCAGACTGCAGCCATGAACCCCCAGTTCATGTCACAGGCAAGGCTGCATCGGTCAGAAAAAGTCCTCCTTTTTCTACTTTACAACATTTTACTACATGAGAGTAAAGCTCAAAAAGAAACCAGCCTTTTTGAAATGATGGATGCTGTACACAGTGGAGCACATTCTTCCAAAGGGTCACTGGACTTGCTCTGTGTGTACTGAATGCAATGGATACTGTCCTGTGCTCCTGGTAAAGTGACTGATCCTCCTATCAACAACAAACACAGCCATCCTAAAGATCATGTAAACATATACCACAAGAGGGTAGAAAGAATTCTTCCAGCAATTTTTTGAAAATAATCCTTTCTTTGTAACAGAGTCCTTTCAATTTCAAATTTGCAAATTGAAAAGTGCAGTAGGCAATACAGAATTTAAAACAATAAACAAATACCACAGCAGATAAATAGGCATTTATTAAAGTTCATCTCAAAACAAACAAAAATAATAAAAGACATTAAGGCATCTTGTATTCAATGACAGTTCATACAGTAAAAATGACTTCTCCTTCTTATACAAGAGAGCAGATTAGGAAAAAAAAAAGAAAAGAGCTCTCACAAAGAACTTCTCCCAAACTGATGGATTACTGATTTCCCCTGTCCCACCAGTTAGTCAGGAAATCCCTCCAAAGAATGCCTATTTCTCCAATGAAGCAGCTACAAAATCCCAACACTCATTGAGACATGTGCAAGAAAGCACTTTTGCCCCTCCTCAGACATCCCAGTGTCTGTAAACATGCACACTGGAGAAAGACCAACAGATGGATGTTGTGCAGGATAAAGAAGCTGCACTCCTGCTTTAACCATTCATTTTTGAGCAGACTAGAATATTTGGCCTTGCTTTCACTAGTATTTACTATTTCAGCCAGTTACTAGTGAAAATGAGACCACAAGCTCTAGCCTGTTCTGCAATGCAACAATTTGTATGTCCTCCTTCTAACTCATACTAGATAAACAAATGACAAAGGTCTTATTTCCATGGAACAATTTATTTTGATGAATTAAGCCATCAAGCCACCAATCACTGTTATAGTGCTTTTTTCTTCAATTGGAATAAGAACATCATGAAATGTTTACAGTATCATTGGGTTCACTATAACAGGATTTTACTACAGACTAAATATAAATTAATAAACACTTCAGCACTATTCACCACACTGGCTCCCTATATCCTTTGTCACATTCTAACCTTCATTTAAGGCAAGTTTGTTGGTTGATTTTTCTGAAGACGACCACATGGTCTCTAGATAAGCTTGTGTGACTAGATTTACAAGTTAGGAAATCGAGCTTTATAAAATGTTTACTTCAACAAATATGAAAGTTATTAAGAGAGAGATGGTGACCCAGAATTGCACTGTATTAAAAGGTGGAGTTTCCTTGTACCAAAGTCCTTTATTCATCATCTTTAGAACCAGTTTTGCTTAACTATAAAAGAGACACAAAAAGAAAGTATTCAAATTTTAGACTGTCATTCCATTTATTAGGAAACAAGAACATTATTTCCATCTCACACTGAACATGCATTTACTTAATCAACAATACAGACTGATTGTGCTACTGTATCAAAAGACTGAAAAGCATCAGAAGTTAATTCTTAAGCTTAAACACTAAATGAGCTTACTTCCTGATCATGAAAGCTGAATTTTAAAAAAACCCCAGAAAAACCTCAGGGCACTGTTTCTATTTAATTTGAAGGCTTTATCAGCAGCTCTCCAAAAAGAAAAAAAAAAGAAGTAATGGAATTTTATCTTCACATATCTCTGAGAGAATTCCCATATAGAAATATAGACAGTATAAAAATAGACATTAACATTAACTTAGTATTTCTCACCTTTGAAAGCTAGGCTTAAAATTATTAAAAGTAGCATGCCTGTCATGGAATCTATCTGAAAACCAAGACATCCACTATAAATAGCCACTTTTAACTCAGAAGGACTCTGCCCAAAACAACCTTCATCATTTACTTGCTCTGACTTAACAACTGGAACTGGTGTTAGGTCTTACAGCAAAAATTACCTCAATTGTGTAAAATAAAATAGTTTGCTTTCAAAAGTGTAAAGCAGTGATTTTCACTGAATCAACAAAGACAAGAGGGTGGAAGAAATCAATACTGAGGGAGCAAGTAGAAAAGAATTATTCACTGGGACAGCTCCCTTTTATTCCTTACTTATCCACTGCCCTCCAGAACCTGGCAGCACTACTAACTTTATTTAAAATCTTCTTGTCATATGAAGACAGAATATTTGCAGCACATTTCGTTAGCAAAGCCCTCTCATAAAATTAAGATTTAATTGCTCAGTAAATAAGAGAACTTGAAAATACTTACATGCTGGACACATATAGAAATTAATCAGACATCATAGTCAAATCCAAACATAGTTAGGAAGAAAAGCAAGAAAAAAATATGTCAGATCAGTTTTCTTCAGATATAAGTATAAATAATTTTCAATTTACATACACAGCATGTTCACAATACTGTATATAATACACTCACTTTACCTTAATTACATCAACCCAGTTCCATCCTCGTGGAAGCTCTCCTTTGTTATCTGCAAAAAAAGGTTTTAATTTCAGCACACAAGCGAAGGGGAATATTTATCTTTCTTCAAAATCGACCCACAAAATGCTAAATAGCCAAATTCCTCAATTTCTGCACTCTGAAGCCATGAGGACAGAAACAGATTTTAATGTCTTAAACACAGTGTGTTCTTCAACCAACCTCAAAGTGAAAGGAGGAAATGAAATGGCCAAGGGAGGTTCAGATTAGATTTCCAAAAAACATTTTTGACTAAAAGAGTAGTTAGGTATTGGAGTAAGTGGCCATGGGGAGTGGTGGAGTCACTGTCTCCAGAAGTGCTCCAGAGGTGCCTGGATGTGGCACCTGGGGACAGGTTTAGGGGTGATTATGGTGGTGATGGGTTGGCAGTTGGATAGATGAACTTGAAGGTCTCTTCCAACCTTGGTGTGATTCACTGATTATGTGACTCAAAGTAATTCAGTTGATATAAAAACACTTCAGTCCACCTGAAATTTAGTTTAGAAAGTAGCTCCAATATGAGCTGGGCTGACCAGCAATGATGAATTCTGTCAAAGAACTAAATTTTATGCAGCTTTTCCTTTATACAGTTAACATTAACCTTGCCAATTATACATTAGGTTAGGTAGATTATATGTAGGAATTGCTATGACAGGGTATAACTTATTGCTACAACAGGATGGAATTATCCAGATCATTATTGAAAACTGAAGGTGAACATGAAAGAGTCATCAGCAAATTAACTGAAGTAATCAACTCTTTCAATCCAAATCCTTCTATTTCATTGAAAGCATTAAGTATCTGCACAAGCACTTCTATTTCTAGAATGCAAACTAAATTAGATGCTTTACTCTGGGTTGCAAATAAAATACTTTTGTTTAGAAATTACATTTTTAATAATGTGAATTATTTATGACAGCCCATCAACAATCTGCATTTTTTGCTGAAAGTCAACAAAAGATGTCATTAAATTATAACTCTATAGAAAGTTGCTGTGACCAGAACTAACATCTCAAGCAAGAACAGTTCATCTAAAACAAATAAAATGGAGACCACAGACTTAAAGTAGCTCATGATAAACAAATTACTAGCTATACTTTCTCTAGCCAGGTGTCCCTGCTATAAAATTTGGATTTTGATACTGATCAAAGCAAAGATTAGTATAGTGAACAAACCTGTTTTATCGGCTAGTTTTCGTTTCTGGGCTTTGGATAACTGCTCCTTTTTCTCTTTTTTCTTACTTGGCGGCACTTCAGGAGTTCCAATTGAAATACTATTGCTTACTGAAGTCTGAGAAGGATAAAAGTGGTTGTAAATATTTTGCATATTAGTTTCATGGATATCCCTGTGTAATGTGATTATTAAACCTGACATACTGAAATACCTTGACTGTCAGAAAGAAGCAATGCTGTCAGCAGCCTGCAGCTTTTAATCCACATATAATTAGGGCTATACTTTTAAAAAACATTTGTTAGGGACTGGAATTTCTCTCTTCCAGTTGCAAAGGGCACCTTTTTCACTTTTAAAATTTCATCATGGAGTGTGATTTAGTCTGAATGGATTCAGACTTCTCAAACACAGAAATCACTCCTACCTCCTCAAAGCCGATCTGCTGCACCATCATGGCAAACTGTGCTTACACAACTCAAAAGCCAAAAATGGACCCAGCCTGACTACTTTAAGACCCTGGAGGTGCACTTATACAATCTCAGGAAGGCTGCAGTAAATTGCCACCCATCCAATCCTCAGCAGACACACCTCTGTTTCAGCTTACTTTAGTTTTGCTTCTGCTCAAAATCTCTATTTTAATGTTATCCTGTGGGACATAACAGCAGGCTGCAAACATTTTGGTGTAACAGAAAAATAACTATCAAATAAAACAATTATCACCACAGAGCATTGTGGCACCATACTTTGTGTGTCACTTTCAGCCACTAACTTGTATAATCAATGAAGTGATTTTCAGCTTAGAGAGAACTCTGAAGTATTCAGGTTATAATATCAATATTCTTTTTCAGTTTTAAAAGCACAAAATTAAAATCAGAATTTATCCACTTACCACAGTGTTAACAGGTTGATTTTCCATGAACACCTCCTTATTGTCTTTGGCATATTCAAAAAGTGTGTATGTCATTGCAGTTCCGAGATTTGCTTCAACTTCTACCATTAACTTATCCAATATACTTTGCTTAATGGCTGAAGATCTAAAAGAGATCATTAAACTCAACTGTAAACTAGACAGATAATAAAAAGCTTTTCAAGCAAAGAGTTCCCACCACAAGGCCAGGGAGTGAAGCTGTCACAAATACATACATTGTGTTGTTGAAGAAAGCATCCATCGATATGACTGGTGCTGTTTGTGGATATGTTTCTGGCCAAGAAACTTCTATTAGAAAGGCTTTGGGATCTCCACTTTCACCTATCTGAAGAGGAAAAAAAACCCAAAACCTTTATAAATCAACAGTTTCCGGTTACTTTCTGAGGATTAAAGCCAATAAAGAAGCCTATTACTGCTTTTAGACCACCAAAATTCTTTGAGATTACTATTTTGATAGTTATCAGTTAGAAAATAGTGCTATTAGCTAGAAAGAGCATTAAGTTTTGGACATCAATATTAACATTTACCCTGCAGTTTTTTCATTCTAGAAGAAGGAGCAGAAACTGACAAATCTCCTTTTATGGTTAGGGTTTTTAAATTCCTTTGTTTAAAAGCTACTTTACAATATCTTCAAGCCAAATATTATACTATCACATATAAGAACAGAAAATATGAAGCCTTTTCTCCCCCACACATCTAATCACAGAGCAATATGAAAACCAGCCACAAGACAGGGCTGAAATAAGGATGGTAATAAACCACTAAGCTAAGATAGCAAAAATAACTGGTAAGTATATCAATATTTACGTCTCATGGCTACAGATATTTTATTTACCTATATGAAAGAATGACTAGTAAAAGATTTAAGAAGTCAGTAGAATGAGTCTGGATTAAAAACAAAAAAGGCAGCATATTACTGACATACAATCAGAAATAGCTGTTTCACACAAGGATCTGGAAGACTAGCACAGTAAGGTTTCTAAAACCACCCGAAATTTTCCCTTATTTGCCTCATTATAAAAATCAGCCTTTATCTAATTATGTAGAATAAAGTGTGTCCACAAGAGAAGTCCTAATCAAGGTAAGGCTATGGTTTCAAAATTTAAAAAGTAAACAAAAAATTGTTGCTTTCTTATTTACAATATCTGTTTCAGCAGACTGGACTAACTGACATTCAAAACCACTTGTTTAATGGTGAAATAAATAAAACTTTAAATCAAGAAACTGCAACATTTTTCAAGGCAGTATTTACAGTTCATTTCCCACTGCTACCAAGAGCAGAAGTGGCTGCAAGGTTCACAGGGTTCTCTCAGGAAAGCAGTCTGTGTGCAGATCAAATCCTACAAAGCCATACAAATTCTTTCTATCTTCTCATGCACTTACTTGCATGATGACTTCTCACAGTACAATTTTCTCTTAATGAGAAAGATGTATTATTACCTTTGTATGACAATAAGTTTTATTGTATTTATTTATTCATAAGTATTTATTATTTTATTTATTATTAACTTTTGACAATTATTTTTTGTCTAATAAAAATCAGCAACAACCAAAGCTGGTGAAAGGTAAAATGACTTAGGCTTGTAGGCATGTCTTATTTCCCTTTTCAAAAAAATTTAAATTTATTAAGAATGATCCAATCAATGAAGAAAGGCCACTCTTACATGGCTGGCATTTCAAGTGCTATTAATTAATTGAGCTGTTTCTCATTACAATAAGTGACATTATTTTAAAGTTATTTGAGAAGCCACAGAAAGGTGATTTCAGATGGTTTCTCCCCGAAACAGGCATACAGCATTTTCAGAAATCTCCCTTCTGTCCTGTGGGTGCCTAAGTAAAGTATTCTGGCCATCAAAAGATCTGCCTCAGTCTGTGCCCAGAAGAACTTCCAGGTTTTTAAATCTGAGAAAGCTGGTGAGAACTTCATGCCAGAATCTAGTTGTGTACCTTGAGCTCAGCACTCCCTGTATGTCTCTTGTGATCAGACTGTGCCAGTGCACACATCCAAAGCATTTGCAGATCTTCTCTTTAGCAGGTAAACAAGACACAATCAACAGTCTTTGGACAAGAGACAGCAATCTTGTAACTACGCAGTTAACAAAGGCTCCAAATTTTACGTAGAAACATCTCTATAAATCTTTCCATTTCTAACCTGTTAGGGTAAATACTACACAGCAGGCCTTCTTCAGAGGATGTGACAGTTCTGGCTAGGCAGGGCACAGACGCACAAGGGGGATGCCTGGCTCGGGGATAACTGGCAATAGGGCAAGAGGCAATGGGCAGAAAGTGACAGACAGGAAGTTTCACCTGAGTGTAAGGATTTCTTTACTGTGCAGTGACTGAGCATGGAAGAGATCGTTCAAAAAGGTTGTGGGGTCTCCCCCACTGTAGATTTTCAGGAACAGACTGGACACAATCCTGTGCCACGTGCTCCAGGATGGCCCTGCTTGAGCAGGGAGGTTGGACCAGGTGACCACTGTGGTCCCTTCCAGCCTCACCCGTCCCGTGACTCTGTAACAAACCGTGCTGGGGGCAGGTTCACATACACGACACTCTGCGGTGTGAAGCCCTGTTGTACCAAACAGCCTGGAAAGAGCGCCCTGTGGATCTATCCTTTACCGCACATCGGATACCCCTTTGGCTTAGAATCCCCCAGAATGGCAACAGCAAGGCAGCAAAGTAACTCCAGGGTGCACCTTGGCCTTACCCTGTACTGGAAGGACACGGGGCTGAGCTCCCTGAAGCACACGTCTCCCTCGTAGATGGAGCGCAGCGCTTCCAGCTCCATCTGCAGCCAGGGCCAGAGCAGAGAGCGGGGGTTACCAGAGCAAGGGTTACCGACCGCAGCCCCGGCACGACCTCCCGCGCCCCGCCGTGCCCGGCCCCGCCGCCGCCCAGCTCCCTCCTCCGCCCCTCGCCCGCTCCAGGGCCGCCGCTCCCTTCCCGCCCCCGCCACGGCGGCCGCCGCCTCTCCCCGCACGGCGCTATCCCGCCCTCCCAGCCCCGGTTCCGCTCTCCCTCAAGCAGCGGGGCCCGGCACTCGCCTCCTGGTCCTCGTTGGCCGCCATGGCCGGAGCTCCCGGCCGCGCTCCCTGGGCCCGGCCCGGCCCCGCTGCCGCCGGGGCTGGGCGGGCCTGCCTGGCGCGGCCCCGCCGGACTCGCACGGACGCGCCTTCCCCGAGGGCAGCGCGGGGCAACCGTGGGCACCGCCCCCTGCCCTGCCATTGGCCGGCCGCGCGTCCCCCCGCGCTTCCTCCTTCCGCTCACTGGCCCCTTCGCGGTGACGTCCCCGCGCGGGCGCTCCTCACTGGTCCGAGGGGCGCAGCGGAGGCGCCGATTGGCCGCTCGCGCTGCCCTTCCGACGCTGCCCGGCGCTCGCTTCCTGAGGCGGCGGCCCGCCCGCGCCGCCTCCCGTGACCCGCGGCCGCTCCCAGCTGGCGCTTCCCGGCGCTTCCCAGCTCCATCCCGCCGCAGTGAGCGGCGCTACGGGGAGCGCGGGCCCGGGACAGCGGGGCGCTCTTGTGGCCGGCCTGGGCCGCCCTCCCGCCGCCGTTCCGCTGTCTCGCAGGCCGCCGTCCCGGGCGCAGGATGACCCCTCCGTCTCACTGGGACTTCCCGGTGGAGCTGTGCTGCCGGCCCATGGCGTTCGTCACGCTCACCGGCCTGGACGTGGTGTACAACGCCGTGCACCGCGCCGTGTGGGACGCCTTCTGCGCCAACCGCAGAGCCGACCGCGTCCCCATCTCCTTCAAAGTGCTGCCCGGCGACCACGAGTACCCCAAGTGCCGTACGAAGGTAGCGAGCGGCGCCGGCCCCGGCTGCGCCCCGTCCCGGCGGGCTCCGTGCCGGCCCGCTGCCCCGGCGGGCTCCGGGAGCGGCGGTGCGGGACTCGGCGGCTCCCGGCGGGGAAGGGCCGTGCTCCGCTCCGCCTGGGCTGCCGCCCGCTGGCACCGCGCTCTGCCGGCCCTCGGCTGCCTCTGCCCCCGATGTTGGAGGGAAGTGTGGGAGCTTCAAGGCAGGGAATTATGAGGGCGAAGGGGAAGCCGAGGGCGTTGTGATGGAGCGCTGTGGGTGCATAGGAAGCCCAGGGGTGCCTTAGCTCGTGAGCCAGAAGCAGAGAAAGCCCGTATGGTTTACTTTTTAAAGTACTTGCTACTCCTGTACATAGCATTAAGGTGCTTTGTAAAGTTTGAGCTTTGATGAAACCCGAAATTTAACTCTGGAGAAACTAGACACTTAATGTATCTCAAAAAAACCCTAACCTAACCTCTAAAGCTCTTTTTTACTAAACATTTCACTTTAACTGAGTGAAACACAGCAGAAGGAATATCTCTGCTATTCTTTCTGCTTTGCAACGTCAATGAGTTTAACTGTTATAAAACTACATAATTCCATGATGCTGGTAAAGACAAGGACTCTAAACTGGTGTGTCCTTGCACTGTTTTGAGAGCTCTGTTTTCAACTGAGCCTAGTATTTCATACTAGCCTATATTCTCATACATGGCAGTGTGTGAGACTTGCTCCTAAACTTGACCCTCTTCTCCAGCCTCCCTGGAATCTGTTGTTCTTTGCTGCTAATATCTCAGGCACCAGGCCCTGATGCCTGAGCTACTGAGGGATATGGCTTAATAGGAAGCAAAAGCTTGAGGGGAACAATGTTAAAGGCAAGATGACAAACATATTAAGTGGCAGGAATGTCGAGGATATGCCCTTTCTCCTGCTATAAATGTTTGAAAATGGGTTTTGTAGCTTGCTTCAATATTCTCAATATTTTCAGAGGACATCCTATGAGTGGTATATTCCAAAAGGAATCCTGAAGACTGGTTGGATGAACAAACACCTGAATTTGGTTCCAGCACTTGTGGTGGTGTTCTATGAACTGGACTGGGATGAGCCACAGTGGAAGGAAAAACAGTTGGAGTGTGCTACTCGAGTTGAAATTGTCAGGTAGATTTTTTCACTTGCTTCATTATGTACTGCAAACTAATGTAAGTGTGAATTGCAGAATCTGTTTGCATTCTAGAACATACACTTTGTTTTCTTAAACATAAATTAAGGGGAACTTGAACTTTGCTTTTTAATATACAACTCAAAATAAAGAACTTTTTAATGGTTTATTTGTAAAACCATTACTTATTTTACTTCAGTAAAAACAGCCCCTGAAATTTTTCTTGCTAAACTCAAGACAATTGTTCTGTCCCAAAAGAAGGAAGACAGGATTTTTTGAATGATGGAGTATATTTTGTTGTTTGGCTTTTTCATGTTTGTGGCATTTTTCCAGTGCTTCCATCTAGACTGATTTTTTTTCCTGTTTATTCAGCAATAAGAAGTGAAACCTTGACACTGTGCTATGTTGTTTTTATTTTAGGCAAAGTTTGCAGGGAAGAAATACCAAAGTTGCTGTGGTTTTGATTCAGAAAAAAACACCATTGCCTCCAGGTACTTGAAAACTCTATGCACAGTTGTGGAGTTCTCATTTTTCAGAAGGCCCAGTGGACTGGGCTGACTTTGGTTTGTCACATAATCTGTGCTTCTTCATCTGATGTCATCTACATTCATTAAATGCACCGTGACTGCAGCAAGGTGTAAGATAAAAAGAGCATTCAGGACAGTTGACCCTAAACATTTGATACTTTTATCCCTAACTTCTTCCTCTTAAGTCCAAGTGCATTTTGTGGTACACAGTATCAGAGATGGCTTATATGGTAATACACCTGACCTGCCTTCTTACAAGCAAGCAAATTTTAAACATTGCTTGGGAAAAGCAGTAAAAGCATTGCGAACTTAGAGGAAGAGTGTTTAGTACCTCAGAGGTCTTTTGTCTTAACTTGGTTTTAATTGATAAAATTTTGGAGCCACATGGAACTGTGAAATGTGATACACTTTTAACTTTACATTTCTGTAGAGCTACTGTGTGCTTTCTAGTGTCTGACAAACCATGTTTTGTTTTTTGCTCTACCTGCTGTATGTGTTTGTCTTTCCTGGATGCCATTGTATTTCTCAAGACATGGGATATTTAATTCTGTGAGAGATGGAAAACTTACATCAGACTCGTAATTTTTTGCTAAAAACTGCTAAAAAGTTTCTGCATGTGTTCTGCTGGATGAAGCACATAGTACTCTGAAAGAAACAAGAATGTGCTGTTGGTTTTATCTTTATTAGATTTTTCAGTACTGTTTAGACCTTTTGGTCTACCTAAGGTTCATAACCTGACCTTTAAGCTTTTAGAACTGGTTTGACATTGCAGCACCACGTACCTCTTACTTGTGTTTTCCTTGACTTCTCTAGGGGAAGATGTTATTGCATCAGAGAGGGCTGCAGCTTTGTGTAATGCTTGTGACCTTTCTGGAAAATCCCTCTTTGTGCTTCCCCACACTGATCATCTTGTTGGCTATATTATAAGGTAAGTGTTGTAAAACCCCTGTCTTGCCCTGTTTGCAGAATGTGGCATGGCTTACAGGGCACCTGGCCTGCTGCCAGCAGATGGTGAACACTTGTCTCACAGGGGAAGAGAGATCTGCACACAAGAGTTAGCAGAGCTTACTGAGGGGGCTTTAAACCAGACTTAAAGTGGGAAAGGGATAAAACCAGTTTCACTGGAAATAAGCCTGGAGTCAGCATGCCAGTGTTGGACTGTTGGTGTGCTAGTGAGGGCCTTCATTCTGCTGGCTCAGTGGAGATGATGGAAATCCATGCAGTGTCCAGCTCTGGGCACCTCAGTGCAGGAAAGACACTGAGGTGCCAGAGTGTGTCCGATGAAGGGCAACAGAGCTGGTGAAGGTCAGGAGCAAAAGCCTTCTGAGCAGCAGCTGAGGGAACTGGGGGTCTGTAGCCTGGAGGAAAGGAGGCTTGAGGAAAACCTTATTGCTCTCCACAACTCCCTGAAAGGAAGCTATAGTGGACAGGTTGGTGTCTTCCCCAGGGCTTCCCTTCAAGCTGTAGGATGGGAAGAAATCGCTTAAGTTGCTTCAAGGGAGGTTTAGATTGGTGAAGAAATTTTTCCTAATATCCAAAGGGGTTATCAAGCATTGGAATAAGATGCCTAGGGAAGAGATTAAGTCACCATTGAAGGTGTATTTAAAAGGCATGTGTACTGTGCTTTGGGACAGTAGGATGGGCTTAGTGGTGTGGCTTGGTAACAGGTTGACAGTTACATTTGATGATCTTAAAGGTCTTTTCCAATCTAAACAATTCCATGATTCTGATGGAGAATTTGAGAGATCATAGGTTGAGATGAATGCTATTGGCACTGATTGTAGACCAGCAGTGAATGTTTTACCTGTTTGCTGGAATTCTTCAGGTTATTCTGATGAATTCTGCACAATTTCATTTCTATGTGAGGTTGAGTAATGACAGCCAGAGATGTTGCTTTTAAAGAAATATTTGTCGATATCCCAAGTGGCCTTTTCTACTTCTACACTGGTTTTGGCCCTGCTGGTTTGAAATGATTTTCCATACAAATATGTTTTTAGATTTATCTCTTAACAGGCTTTTGGTTTTTCCCCCACTTTCGCTCCCTGGCCATGTAGTTTTTTCCTTCTGTTTATGTAAAGTGGCATCTATCTGGTTGCAAATATTATGTCTTTGTCATTTTCTACATTTCTTGTGCCTTCTGTTTTGATATTTACATGGACTACAACTTCAAATAATTTAGGAAGGCCTTTCAAAAGCAGATTGAAGAAAGGTAAACATTTTTGTGTAGCTCTAAAAAGAAGGGCTCAAACTAACGAAATCATGTTTTACAATAATTAGTTCTAATTTTCCCATGTATTCTCAGGGAGAAGACAGGTCACAGTCTGAGGTTAACTTTGCTCTCACCTTCATATTTATATATAAACAGTATAATACTCAACATAAATTAATGCTGCTATTGTATCCAGTCTGCTCACAAACTGCCCTGGAATTGATCAGAACAAAGTAACCATTACTTCTAGCTTTTCATATTTTTTTCAATGCTAAATTGAGATTATGGTAACAGAACTGGTACTTCAGCCTTTATTTCCTGCATGTGCCAGTGCTTTTGCATGTATTCCTCTCCTAGATTTTGATCTTGTTCTAGTTGATTTTACTCCTTACAATATATGCTCCTTAGGTCCTCCTCTCATGTTGCATTTGGTGTGCTTGTCCTCTTT